CCCTCAATCGCCCGCGCTCCGGCCTCGAAACGCCAAAATATAGACAAGGCATGACAAGCATTGCCTATGTAGCCTGCGGTGGCTGTAACGAGTTCAGAGTGCCTGCGACTCGGTGGTATTTGTGTAAGGGGAAGGAACGTTGCTGCATCCAAAAAAGGGGGGCGTAGCCAACAAACGAATGCTCTCAAACGAATGCAGTCCAACGAGTGCAAGACGTACGCAACTACGCCCCCCCCCCCATCTCACACTGGCGTGCGTTTTATCCTCCGTTGATGCCTGATTCCCCACTCCTCGTCCTCCTACTCCTGATTGGTGGTGCTGTGCTCCCGAATCCTGATTGGCTTGGAAATGGGCGAATGCCGCAGGTCGGTGGTGCGCGCTGGAGACTCCCAGCAGGGCAAACTCATGGTGAGCAGACGTTCTCACTCGGATGATCGAGTTTGACGGAATCTTAATTTTCCATTCCGCACTCAATCGGGGGCGTTCAGTGCCCAAGCGTTTTCGAGTGATCCAGCCCGACGGCCCTGGTTTCAAGGCGGTCGTTTTGCGCGCACTGTTATTCCATAGGTGTGTTTTGGTTTGCCCCATCAGCAGCATTTGCTGGACACAACGGAGAACCAAAGTTGGCGGTGACTTTTACAGCTCGCGTTGCATGGGACCAGCTAAGAACATTCAAGCCAGGGCGTGGGTTGGGTGGGAGTGCAGGGACAATCATTTTTACTCAAGAAGCGTGTGCACTCTGATTATGCGGCTATTTGTTGGTACGGTAAACCCGTGTCACGGTGGCGCAGCGGGTGCCGGTATTGCACTCCCAACGACACGGGCATTTTGCGGTACAATCAGCATTAGGCTCTTCGGCATCTATGTGGCACTACGTATCCCGGAAGTTTTTTTTTTTTCCGGACGCGGGCTAGTTCCATTCTGTAGGCGGCTTCCCAACCTATCCATTGCTCCATCGACAACCTCACGTTCAGGCCCTGAACACCATTTGCGACCACGTGGACGACATCGAGACCGTGCTGAGGACAGAGCTGGAGTTCGGCCAGAAGATCGCGGCAGGCGCCATCAAGAGAGATGCGATGGCCAGAAAGCTAGCACGAACGAGGGGGAAAGAGGTGAGAGGGGGGGTAATCGCCTTTTGCTTACCTTAGTCATGCGAAAGCTGACCACGCAATCGTTGTTGCAGGGAATTCACGCCATGTCCGTGGATGAAGTGAATCCGTTATTTAGGCGCTGTGTTTTTTTCTAACATGTGTACTGCTGTATTGGACGTCCGTGCTCATTTCGTCCTTCCTGTTTCGGTGCTAGTCTCCTTGTACCATGCTCTAGACTTGCGGGAGGATCCTCCCTCCCACCTGTAGCGAAAATGTGTGCATGACAGAGGTCGTGCGCGAAAGCCGTCGCTGAAAACTTGTCTCGACTATCCTGTGCACTCACCCATCCACTTGCGTCTGCTCACACGCGCGTCTGCGCAAAGACGCCAGAGCAGTATATCGATAAAGATATCGACAAGTCTTTTTTTGTTTTTTCAGTGGAACTACTTGCTTTTTTGTTTAATGAAGACGCATCCGTTTGGGGGTGTACCTGCGTGTGTGCTATCAATCTAAGCAACGATTGTTTTGCTGGTCTCTCCCCATTCCGTTCGGTCCTGTCCCCCTCCTCCGCGCAAACGTTACCTTTCTCGACACTGCTTTCTGTTTCTAGATGGCTGACTGCTTTTGCTGACTGCTTGCTGACTGCTTGTACTGCTGCTTCTTGTGCTGCCGCCTCTGCCGACTGCTGCCCTTTCGTTTCTTCTGCTACATGTGTCCTACTGCCGTACGCCGCCTGCTGCGGTAAGGTCTCCGAGGAAGAGCTGGACCTCATCTTCGCGGTGTTCGACACCTCCGGCGACGGCTCCATCGACACCAAGGAATATGGGGAGCTCGTGTCCGACCCCGCCGGCTCCCTCGGCACTAGCAGCGGAGCAGCGGCCGGCACCATTCTCCCTTCCCGTGACGGTAGAAACTAGGGTACCATAGGTGACATGACACGAGATCCCACACCCCCCGGAGCGGTTTTCAAAGCTCGATTACTCCACATACAGAGAGAGAGAGGCGGTGCCGGAAATGGTGGAGTTGGAACTGTCGTCGAGATCTTTCCAGAAACGAATCGATTGAGATTTTCACCCCTTCTTCGTGGAAGCAGTAGTCGAGCTTTGAAAATCGATTGGAGGGAGTGGTATCTTGTGTTACCCAAGGTACTTATGTAGCTTTTAGCTTGTTGTGGGTGATGCGGAAGTCGATATAGCTTAGCGTGAGTTGTACGGAAATGTACACAGATAGTGAGGTAAGGTGGTAAAAGAGTGTGGGGGGGGGAAATGTGGGTTCCTCGGCGGTTTCGTGAACTGCAGGGAGTAAGTAAGTAGCAGCATATGCTCGCTCAAGTAGCGGAAAAATATATATACCATGAGACTATACAAAAGCCCTTCTGTCAGAACGGGCCCGCAACCAAGCAGCGCCGAACGTTGGGGTCGAGGAAAGAATCCTCACGAATAGATGTCGCCCCCATCCAACACAGGTTTATTACGTCGAGTTCAGTGTTGGACCCCCCGCTGGTGATGTGTTGTCGATTGTTCTGGTTTCGCGACGTTTAGCCTCTAGTCTACAGCAACATTGCAATAGTGGGGGCCCCATGTTTTGTGCCGGTTGAATAGTGCCAATGTTCGATACGATACAATACAGTACCGGTGTTATCCGCGGGCAAACACTGAATTTCCCAGTCATTGTCAATACTTTGAACAGTGCCGATCCGGTGTGGTGACGGTGGATTTCGTGAGAACGAACAGGCACAGCAGTGGGGTAGGCAGGTTTCTGAAGTTGGGGAGGGTCTGTTCTGCGATTGCCCGGCGAGACATACGCCGGAGAGGTACCGCACGAAGAAAGCAAAAAAGTCACAAGATCCGATGTGACAGATGACGAAGCCTACCCTTGTCACAAGGGAATCTGGAGTCATTTGGACCCCTTGATTGGTTGGGCGGAGACATGCACGAATCTTGATTGACTACTTCTCTTGTACTCCCAAGACTTGTGCGTTTTATCGGGCTAGTAGCAGCTTCGTGGGCGCTCCAAGAGCCGGGTGGGGAGAAAATCTTTCTTACACGAAAGGACAACGTCCACGGGGAGTCAGTAAGTTTTACGTTGGATGTGTTGTCATCTTACGCTTACGCAAGAAATTGCCTCCAAACTCAGAGTTGTGTCTCATCATATCATGAGGGTAGACGACTTTTGGACGCACGTGGGATTCGTGCAACCAGCAGAGGGAGCATTGCACAATACAAGTGTCTTCAATTACAGCATCATCCGTCTTTTTACCCCGCCCGTCCGTGCTTAACTGCTCATAGTAAATCCGAAACCGCTTCCCGCCCTTTTTTGCCCGAGAGACAAAACTAAACAAACCAGTCACCCAACTCCTTTGCAACACCACACTTCTCCTACCCACTACGAGCATCACCACCAGCAACAACAAACACCCGCCGCCACGAAATACGCAGCTAGCGTGATCGTGTGAGGCAAAAGACACCAGCGGTCAGCAGTCCAGCCATCAACAGCACGGATGCCATAAACGGCCTCCAAAAACACAGAAAAGTAACAAAACAGACCAGCGTACCACATATAAATGCCCCCCCCCCCCCCCCCCCCCCCCCCCCCCCCCCCCCCCCCCCCCCCCCCCCCCCCCCCCCCCCCC